AAACTCGAATCACACAGGTAGTAAGTGGCAGATCTTACATTCAAACCCACCCCCCCCAAAAAAAAAGAAAAGAAAGAAAAAAAAAGGGAAGAGAAGCTAGAGAGGGAGAAAGAAGAAAAAGATGATAATGTCAGAGAAATAATTCATAACCCCACGGTTACAAGTTTGCTGGGTGTTAATAATCATTTAAAATATAATTTCTACAGGAAAATAAATTGGCTTCCAAACAATGACTTACCAAAGAACTTTGGGAACCCAAGAAATTAAGTTGGGAACTTTGTATATACAGAACACTTTGGAAATTTTAAAGTACTTCTATATCTATTTTATCACTTTAAAAGTAGCTTGTTAGTGTTCCAAAGAAATTAAATAATACCCATCCACAAAAGAAAAAGATCCTGCCACGTGTCGTGATCTGTGCCTGTAGTCCCAACTACTCAGGAGGCTGAGGTAGGAGGATCACTTGAGCCCAGGAGTTTGGGGCTCCATTGAGCTATGATCGTACCACTGCACTCCAGCCTAGGTGACAGAGTGAAACCCTCTTGTCTCTTAAAAAAAATTCTGGCCGGGCGCGGTGGTTCAAGCCTGTAATCCCAGCACTTTGGGAGGCCTAGACGGGCGGATCACGAGGTCAGGAGTTCGAGACCATCCTGGCTAACACGGTGAAACCCTGTCTCTACTAAAAATACAAAAAAACTAGCCGGGCGAGGTGGCGGGCGCCTGTAGTCCCAGCTACTCAGGAGGCTGAGGCAGGAGAATGGCGTAAACCCGGGAGGCAGAGCTTGCAGTGAGCCGAGATCGCGCCACTGCACTCCAGCCTGGGCGACAGAGCGAGACTCCGTCCCAAAAAAAAAAAAAAAAATTCTGTTGTGAGATTCAAGCAAATTTTCATTAACTTGAGTATTCTGGGCGTTTGTGTATATTGGAGAGAAAGTTGTAGTTAACTAAAATTGCTTAATATTCAAGTTTACCAAGAGAATATATCTTGTTTTAACCATTAATGTTTATTAATGTTTTCAAAATATCCACCCTAAAAATTATTGTATTCACCTGCCTTAAATTATACAGTATGTAAAGTTATAATCTTTAATGAGCCGGGATCATGTAGTAGTACCTGAATGAAGATCATCACTATGAATGTCTGATGTACAGGATAAGAAAACTTAGTCGCACATATGGGATAGACAAGCTGAAGTCTAGAAGTCAGATTTTTTTTTTTTTTTTTTTTTTTTATTTTGGATGGAGTCTTGCTCTGTCACCAGGCTGGAGTGCAGTGCGCAATCTTGGTTCACTGCAACCTCCGCCTCCCAGGTTCAAGCGATTCTCCTGGACTACAGGTGCATGCCATCATGCCTGGCTAATTTTTTGTAGTTTAGTAGAGATGGGGTTTCACGTGTTAGCACGGATGGTCTTGATCTCCTGACCTCATGATCTGCTGCCTCGGCCTCCCAAAGCGCTGGGATTACAGGCGTGAGCCACACCACACCTGGCCCTAGAAGTCAGATTTTTAAAAGCTGATATGTTAGTATCTCTTTTTAGGACATACTGAATAAGAACATATATTAAAGTTATATAATGGCCTTTATAATGGTTTTCTAATGGTTTTAGAGTAATGTTATCATTAACTTTATATTTCTTTAGTTTTCTGAATCTCAAAAAAAAAAATTTCAATCCAAACATCAAGATTTTCAAGCAATTTTTTAATCCTTTTTTGAGACAGGGTCTCACTCTATCACCCAGGCTAGAGTGCAGTGGTACAATCACGGCTCACCACAACCTTAACCTCCAGGGCTCAGGTGATCCTCTGGCCTCAGCCTCCTGAGTAGCTGGGACTGCAGCCATGCACCACCATGCCTGGTGGGCCGATTGCCTGAGCTCAGGAGTTCGAGACCAGGCTGGGCAACATGGTGAAACCCCGTATCTACTAAAAATACAAAAAATTAGCCAGGTGTGGTGGCGTGCACCTGTAGTCCCAGCTTCTAGGGAGGCTAGTTGGGAACTCCTGGGCTCAAGCAATCTGCCTGCCTCAGCCTCCCCAAATGCTGGGACACAGGCATGAGCCACTGCACCCAGCCTCAAGTGATTTTTAATGCAATAAATCAGTCATGTGATGATGCATAAAGATGTCTCATGAGATTGCAATACTGTATCTTCACTATACCTTTTCTATGTTTAAATATGTTAGGTACACAGATACTTACCATTGTGTTACAATTGTCCACAGTACTCAGTACAGTAACATGTTCTACAAGTTTGTAGTTTAGGAGCAATTGGCTATAGGCTAGGTATGTTGTAGGCTAAAAATCACCTAATGACACAATTCTCAGAATATAGCCCTACCATTAAGCAATCAATGGCTGTACTTTTAAGGTTATTTATTTTTGCAAAGGGCTCAGAAAGGTACTCTGATTTCTTTAGACTGGTCTTACATGAATGGTTTCTAAACTTTCAAATTTGAGTAACAGTTGAAGGTATAACTAATGATCATTTTATTCTAAGACATGTCAATGTATCTTAAGATATGTCTTAGGGGGTTTAAAGTATACATGTTTATAATATTTTTACCAGTTATATAGAAAATATTGATTTTCTAAAAGTATAAATTTCGTAAGAGAAAAGGAAATACTGTGAATAATGAACTTATTTTTTAAGAGCACAGTGGGAAGTTCAGGCCTTGGTTCAGGATATAGCATACTGTGTCTTTTCTTTAACAATTGAATAGACACAGTTTTGTTATATAATTATTTAGTTAGGCACACATAAAGCAAAATATTATTAGACTTCATTGAGATACAAACTGGCCTGAATTAGTGAAAGTCACATACTACAGAGTATTTTTAAAGATTCACTATTATATTATTTTCATGTAAAAACAGTAACCACAATTAGCTGCCCACAAAATGTTGTCAAGCAGATATCCAACTGAGGCTCCTTTAATGAATAAAGACAATTTAAGTAAATGTTGTATCTGGAATCTTAACGAAAATCCATAGAAGTGATGGTTCTTAGGGGTAGTATACAATAGTTAAGAGCAACTAAATGATTCAGTCTTCTGAGATGTTATTCGTCTTAACCAGTGAGCTGTTAACCAGATGACACAAAGCTAGGCTAGACTACTAATGAATATGCAATATTTCTTTTTTTCAGCTGGAGATAAGTATGTGGTTTCATAGTATGCAACATACCTTCTGCCTGTTCTTGCTGCCTTTTCAGAAGATCAGCAGGGAAAAGAGAAACTGACTTTCTTTAACAGTAGCCCTGCAGTATTTCTTATTCTTTTTGGTCAAGAAACAGAAATGGAGGCATGACCTGTGCTATTTCTGTTCACTCTGGTCTTAATATGAGAAAATACTATCTTCACTCAAGACCTGTCTACATTCAACACATTTATTTTGGAAAGTTTGATGCTTTTCTACTGATACTATTGTCAATCTTTTTCTTTTTTTAAAGCTCAATTTGCTTATGTAGGGTGTGGTCAATTCCACCCTCTCAATTCACTAGCCTTGTCAATTTTATCTAGAGGCTTTGCTCAAACAACATTCTTTCTAGTTGCACTAAACCCAGGCTGGATATACGGCAAAAAGCAGGATGAAGAAGGTTTTAATTTCATATCCCAGATCCCAGGTTCCAGTTTTCAGCCTCAGAATCACAGAAAAAATTCCTCATACTCATTTGTAATTTCCAAACGTAGTACATAAAAACTTTAAAAATTTTTTAAAACTTTTAAAAAATTCTAATGTTAAAATTCTTATCCTTACATAAAGTTAACTAGTCCTCTACTAAAACACATTTTACTTAACTGTATCAACAAAGCTTCTTTGTAATTATGTTAGTGAGATGGAAATAACAATCTAACCAGAGATAACTTTCCCAACTTGGGTTGATTATAAGAAAACTATTTCATGTGTCTTTCCCCCTACTTTGGAAATTCTAAAAGCAAAGCCTATATAAATAATATCAACACCTTGTCAAAAAGCTGTCCCTTTAAAGGAGGAAGAAAATGTTTCTTCATGTTTTTAAATTAGCATTAGGTATATATAGAGACCCAGAAAATAGAGTTAAGAAAGGAGCAAACTGAAAACAGCATTAACTTAGTTTTCACTTATTTGGTTAGCTTCTGCCTGCTCTTACATATCATTTACGTAAAGCTCAAATTGGAAATCTGTCCTGTGAAATATTCTTCCCTAATGGAATATTTTTTAAAAACTGAAGATGATTACTCTTATGGTACAAATTTATTAGAACTTATGCAGTAATGCTAGAAACAACAAAAATCATAACAGTATTTTATACAGTAGGCAGTTCTTTTAGTGCAGGTACAGTATTTCATAATCTTTTTGCCATAAAGGAATTCTGACTCTAAAGTGATAGCCTTTTTGATGTAAATGCTAATAACATTTAAAATTTGAACAAGGAATGTTGCAGGAAGATGCATAATGCTTTCCCTGTGTTTATCAAATTTGTCTTCATTTCAAAGCGTCCAAGAGTGCTATGATTCAGCTCAAGTTGTAGAAGATGAAAAATAATTCTTCAAAGAATAATGAATAATGGCCCTATTAAGCCTCCAACTAAAATTGCCAATATGTATTTATTGGAAAGAAGAGAACTTTGAGATGACCAATACCTTTTGGCAAGTGGTTTACTAAAGGTATGACCAAGCATGACTGTTACTGTTAAGTCAGAATTTTTAATATATCATATAAAAGTAACTCAAAGTTTCTATAATCTTCTGCAGGAAACCTATATAGTAAGCCAAATGCAGCCTCCTAAATGATCACAAATGGTACCCATACCTATTGCGCTTTCTTCCCAGAAACTGTCCATCATCATTCAGTGAAATAGATATATTAATATACCACTAGATACTAAGAAACTCCCCAAAGACCTCCTAAGAGCATGAAACACCAACCAAATCCAACATAAACATCAGCAAAGGCATATTTATTTCTAATAGTTTAATACCAAGGAAAAAAATACCATTCCCAATCTTCTCCACTTACCCAGGAGTTTTGCGATGATATAAAGTGCTTGTCCCCAAAGAAACAGTTTTCCATCACGGCCACAGTTGCTAGGAAATCGTTTTTGACTACCGGGGTTATTTTTTTCATATTCTACAAAGTCAGCTGGCACATAATAGTACTTTGGTACAACAGGATATCCTATGGAGTTTAAAAATAAGTATTTAAAATATAACAAATCTGTATTCGTCCACTCTGATGCTACTAATAAAGATATATCCAAGACTGGGTAATTTATAAAGGAAAGAGTTTTAATGGCCTCAGAGTTCCACATGGCTGGGGAGGCCTCACAGTCATGGTGGAAGGTGAAGGAAGAGCAAAGGTATGTTTTACACGGTGGCAGGCAAGAGGGCTTATGCATTTACAAAACCATCAAATCTCCTGAGACTTATTCACTACTATGAGAACAGTATGGGGGAAACTGCCCCCATGATTCAATCATCTCCACCTGGCCCCACCCTTGACACACGGGAATTACTATAATTCAAGGTGATCTTTGGGTGGGGACACAGCCAAACCATATCAAAATTAGTGTCTTTCTCAAAAGTTCCCTTCAAGACACTGTAATGATTAGAAAGCAGGGAGGAAGACTTGTTGTGTAGGAGGCAACAGATTTGATAAGCTATAGAAAGCCGGATATTCTGGTTCCTTTCAGATATTGCCAGTGAAAATCATGGAGAAAAAAAATTGACTTTAAAACACTAATTCAACAGCAGATTGTTATGCTTTGGCTAACAATGAGTACATAATCTCCCTCAACAACATTTAATTTTAATACCTTTAAATGAATCAACAAATACACAGTATGCAAATATTTAGAGCCATAGAGGAAGCTATTTTTAATAGGATTAGTCTACAAAAGCTTCACAAATGAGATACTGTGTAATCTTAAACGAAGAATTATAACTCTGAGCCAATGCTAGAGCAAAGAAATCCCCATTTAAGCATTAAGCCCATTATCTACCATTCAATATCACTGAAGAGAAAAAGCCATCTCCTCTGTGACCATTTAAGAATGGATTGGTAGGAACTAAAATTATTATTTAAGAGTAGAATCTTTGTGGATGATAAAATGGGAAAATAATCAACAACCTATGTAGGATGCTACAGAAGACTTTTTGCAATATTAGCCCACAGTAAACTTAATTTTTCTAATGAAATTGCATAGATTTCCCTAAAATTTTGCTTCCTTACGTATCAATCAACAATATTTGTGTCTAAAATCAGTAAGAAGGTCTATGATATACAGATAATACTTTGAACATCACTCTCTGAACACGATGAAACCTGAAGCGAGGTACATTAAACTGCTACACCTTAATGCATCAATGATCTAACACTAAACATTAAAAGATCTGCTTCAAAGGATTTCAAATATTACATGCATTACAAAATTTAATGCATTATTTCTCACACTGGACAAGTGATTATTTGTAGCATAAAGACAAAATTAACTTTTAAAAATTAATATTCACTTTGAAATCAATGTTTATCCATAAACATTTCACAACTTTTAACATTATAAGCATGTTAGTGAGCATATAATATGAAGTATTTACTCTGAGATATCTCTGGAAAACCCCAAAGAATATCACAAATTTCATGTGAGATAGGAATGGGGCTCAGTGCTATGATTGTCAGTACTTTTAAGCCCCAAAGACATCTAGAACATCTCATTTGGAATTCCTTTGAAAATTGGTTTTCCAGTTATACAGAAAATTCAGTTATGTTTTTTGAGGGTCCCTGCTGGTGGTTGACTGAAACCAATATACCCTTACTCCTAAGACTGGGCCTTCTGACCATTTCTAAAATATTAAATCCATCCTCAAAGGATGATGTTTTAGCACCATGGCAGATGTTCAAAACACAATGCTAAGGACCCTAGAAAAAACTCTAAAGAAGAGGCCAGAATATTCTCAGCAATTCTAGTGCCTTTAGACAAGGGCAGAACCTCTCTAGGTAGTCCTCCACGGGGGGGCACTCACTTGACTATAGCATTTTTAGTGACCTGGATAAAAACTGGTCACTTTCTATTATTGTGACACTATACAGAGTAATGGAGTTACATAGTAAATAAGAGATGGAGGAACTCAGTCCACCTGACAAACTATTTTGGAATGACTATAGCCATGCCCACCTAGATTCATCTCCATCTTTGTCTTGCTTAATCTTCTTTCTGATTTCATTTCAGGGATCACTTATTTTTTCAATTTAATATAAATTATTGTGTTTTACAAAGGACTCATTTATACATTTTAAATAAACATTAAGGAAATGTTGGTAGGAAGAATTTCTTAAAAAGACAACTATACCTTCTGTGGTCTGATGAAGTACTGGAGTCAAAAGATCCTGATATTCCTGTACTTGCTTAGGATTGCCTCTAAAAACTCCTAAAATATAAAATATAAAATCCAGTAGCAGCTGAGCTTAATAAGGATCTCAAAAATTTTACCTTAGAAAAAATATATTAGCCCAGTTACAATTATTTTGGTAATTTTCTATGCAAATGGTAAAATTAAAATTGAAAAAAAGTAATGCAAATCTGTGTGATATTTTTCCAAGAAATTGGTTTTAGAAAGTCACGTTAGCATTTAGAATTGAAAACTGAATTTTAATTGAATTTTCCCTATTCCTAAGTATAAATGTTACATACACTCACATTATCAAGGATTACAGTATTAATGATTTCTACTAATAAAAATGTTTCTATGTAAATATGAATAATATATATGGTATCATTTTTTAAATGCTTCCAAGTTTTTTTTAATTGTTTAAATGATTTAGCATTCACTCAGAAAGCAAAAGAGTCGCATATACAAATGCAGGGCAATTAACATCACTGAAGTGCAGTCTATTTTTCTAGCTGAAAAGAGTCATATTTCATTTCTGCTCTTCTTTAAACCACTTAAATCCTATAGCTTAAATTTCAGGAAAAAGCTTACTTACCATCAATCATCATATAAAGGAAAAATATGGGAAATTCACATTCAATGCCATCAAACAGCTAAAACAGAAAATAAAACATTATATTTTTCACTAACAATTAAATTATTATTATTATTTTGAGACAAGATCTCACTCTGTGGCCCAGGCTGGAGTGCAGTGGCACAATCATGGCCCTCTGCAACCTTGTCCTACTGGGCTCAAGGGATCCTTTTTCCTGCCTCAGCCTCCCAAGTGGCTGGGACTGTAGACACACACCACTGTATCTGCCTATCTCTCTCTGTCTCTCTCTCTCTCTTTCTTTTTTCTCAGAGATGTGGTCTCCTCCCTGTGTTGCCCAGGCTGGTCAAACTCCTGGTCTCAAGAGATCCTCTTATCTTGGTCTCCAAAAGTGCTGGGGTTACAGGCATTACAGGCATGAGCTACTGTGCCCAGCCACTAACAATTAAATTAGAAGAACTATAGTTAGGTGATATGTCAAAGATTTGCTTATAGCAATAAAATTGAACTGATTTTCTAAGCAGTTTCCTTGTTCTTTTTTTAAAAAAAAATTTCCTCAGGTCTTATTATTCAAAAGCTCACTCATTCAGTTCATCAAACTGCAGTCCTTCAATAAATATTTACTGAATACTTACTAATGCCTGGAACCAAAAAGACAGAGAACTTCCCTCAGAGGCTCACAGTCTAATAGGGAGGCCAGCATGTAAATAAACAACTACTATGCAGTAGGAAATATCTACACATAGTATGTCAGGCTCATAGGGAGTGGAACACCTGAGTCTGCCTTGGAGTCAGGGAATGTTTATAGGAAAGGAGATGTTTCAGCTAACGCTAGATGGACTTCGAGATGAGCTAAAGTAACTCAAGGCAAAGGAAATAATAGTTACAAACCACAGATGCATAGAAGCACAAAGTATGTTAAAGAATCTACCAGCAATTCAGTATTTCTGGAATAAGCAAGGATGAAGTAGTGAAAACTGAAACCCAACAGATGGGCCAGGCCAGCCAGATCAGGAAGGGCCTTGCAGGTCATGCTAAGTGGCTAAGACTTTGGTCTGGAAATAAAAGAGAACCACAGGTGAATACTCAGCAGGATCAGATTTACTCATTATATTTACTTGCTAGACTGAGCAGCTGGTAATACTGAAGAGAGTTGTAGGGCAAGAAATAGGACCAGCTGGAATTCTGCTGGAGCAAAATCCAAAGAGAAAAGATGACAACCTAAACTGAGGTTTCTTAACTTCAGCACTACTGACATTGTGGCCAAATAATTCTTTGTTGTTGGGCTGCCCTGTGTGGTGCAGGAATGTTTAGTAGCATCCCTAGTATCTACCTTCCAGATGTCAGTAGTACCTACCATATTGTGACAACCCAAAATGTCTGCAGACATTGTCAAAAGTCTCCTGGGGGGCAAAATCACCCCATATCCACTAGCCTAAACCAGGGAGTAATAGAGAGGAAGAAACAGAATTTTAGGATTTTTAGGAGGCTAAATCTGCCAGCCTTGGTGATTGACAAAGGTAGATGGGTTAAAGGAAGTGCCTAGAATGACTCTCAGGTATAGGGCCTGGGCACAGGAGTGGAAGCTGAATACAAGCAGACTGTAAGACACCTAAGCGAGGATGTCCACAAGGCAGCTGCGTACAGAGGGTGGGCACTTGAGGAGAGGTATGAGTTAGGGATGGAGATCTGTGGTTAACAGCTATAGCTGAAGCTGAGAGTTCACAGCCAGAATGAAGAGAGGCTAGGGCTGTGCATGGACCCTAGGAGAAGTGCAATGTTTAAGAGGGGGCAGAAGAAGAGGAACCTACAAAGTAGAATAAGAAGTAAGTGAGAGAAGTGGAGAATAAAGAATAGGGTCACAGCCAATAGAGAATATTCCAACAAAGAAGACTCAGCAAAGACACTCAAATGCCAAGAAGTTCTGTGAAATGAAATCAGAAAAGCATCCACTCCGACTCAGTAATGTAAGCGGATTGAAGCCAGCACAGCTACTGGGGAGTGCTGGGAAGTAAGCCAGTTCGTAGGGGGAAAGAGTAAGCAGGATGTAAACAAGGAGACACCAAGTAGAGGCCATGCTTTTCAGATGTGTGGCACAAAGAGAAAGAGGATGGAGGTGGACAGGGAAAGGGTTGAGGAAGGGTTTTGTTTGGTTTCTTAATGATAAACATCAATATGCTTAATGAGGAAAAAAGCTAATTTAAGTTGGGGAACCAAGACAGAGAAGGTAGAAATGGGGAAGATGAGGAGAAAAAAGAAAGAGAAATAGATATCCTTCTATCACAGAAGAAAACAAGTGAGGGTGTCAAGAAAGTAAAAGAGAATAGGATGGGGTATACACAGGACGGGTTAGCCTTAGAAAGAACAGAGAGCTCCTTCTGTGAGGCAAGAGAGACAGAAGGAAGTATGGATGAAGGAAAGACACAGTGGAGGAGGCCATGCAGAAATGAAAGTCTATCAAGTAGAAAATAAAAAGGAAAGTCTGCAAACTTGAGTACAAATAGGAAAAAGCTGGAAAAGCTTTCATGGGGAGTTCCTGGCAGAGTCAGATAGCAGGACTGACAAGAACTGACAGCAATGATGAGGGTGAACCAAGACAGATCTCCTGTCTGTGGAGCAGCTCCTACCCACAGTGCAGTGGCTTTCCTTGGTGGTGCTCAGCAGAAGGTGCAGAAAACTTGCTGGACAGATTCAAAGTTGGAAGTGTGCAAGGTGGTAGTTAGTTGCAGGTGGTCCAATTCAAATGTAAGTGCTGTAAATACTGGCACAGAAAATGTATTAAATAGGAAAGAAACATTTGAAGATGTTTAAGAGATAAATGGATCTTTTGGTCCAACCTAACAGATTGTAACACTGCCAGCACTGCTGAAAATTTCAAAAGTGCACACAATAAAATGGTTTCCAAGTGATAGTCAACTGTGAAATTAAATAAAATAAAGCTGGGTGTGGCGGTGTATGCCTGTACTCCCAGCTCCTTGGGAGGCTGAGGCAGGAAAATCACTTGAGCCCTGGAGTTCCAGTACAGCCTGGGCAACCTAGTGGGATCTGGTCTCTATTTAAGAAAAAAAAAAAAAAAAAGAAGAAGTTAAATAAAATGATAAATAGTTTGTCTAGTTTTTCTGCAAAAGTGTATGTCAAATTTGAAAACAGTATGTTAATTGCCAAACAACTTAAAAGGTATAATGTTGCCTACACATTTTCTATATACAGATTCCTAGGGACCTTACCTACCTTCAGTGAGTGAGCCAATTATGCCCATGCATACAAAATATCTTTCAGCCGGACACAGTGGTTCATGCCTGTAATCCCAGCACTTTGGGAGGCCAAGGAGGGCAGATCATTTTAGGTCAGAAGTTTAAGATCAGCCTGGCCAACATGGTGAAACCCCATCTCTATGAAAAATACAAAATAATTAGCTGGGCATTGTGGCATGTGCCTGTAATCCCAGCTACTCAGGAGGCTGAGGCAGGAGAACTGCTTGAACCCGGGAGGTGGAGGTTACAGTGAGCTGAGGTCATGCCACTGCTCTCCAGCCTGGGCAACAGAGCAAGACTCCATCTCAAAAGGAAAGAAACAAAAATACAAAATACCTTTCAATACACTACGTTAAAGCAAAGTCCTCAGCAATATGCATGACTTCTTACTTTTTTGGGGTGCTATTTTCTAGATGGCTTAAAAGCAGCTAGTATAAAACTAGATATAGTGGTATGTGTGTTTTGAAATACAAAATATTTTAAAACTAAATATTCAGAGGACTGTATTTTAAAATAAAGTGTCTAAATGAAACAGATAAAGGAAGATGGAATGGCCTATCAGTTTTAATAAAAGAATTTGCTTAAAATATTGAAAGGAATATTGCAAACAGATATTTAATATTATAGAAGACAAATAGTATGGATCAGGCAAGCAGAGGACTGAAAACGCAATAGAAAAATTATTCACCCAATAGATCAACATGGCCCATTATCAGTAAATACCTCACTGGTAATAAGAGCTAGCACTTACTGAGCATTTACCATGTGCCAAGCACTATTCTAAGCACTTTTATGTAAGTTGTTTAATCATCATAAGAACCTCATGATATAGGTACTATTATTATTTTATCCCAACAAAAAAACTTAAACACAGAGACAGGTTAATTAACTGGCCCAGGGCCACATAGCTAGTAAGCAGCAGAGCCAGAATTCAAACCCAATGGTCCGTCTCCTGAATCTGTGCTTTTGATTGCTCTGATATGCGATTACCATGGAATATTTTTTAATACCTTAATTTCAGCTGGCTTGTAGTAACATCTGTTGGGATCTTCCAGTGATGTTCTATACCCATCTCTCAAGAAACGTTTAAATCCATATTTTCCTTTTAATTTTCTAACCACTTTATCAAGTGTCTGGCTAAACAGAACTTCATCATCCAGGGCAAATGCAGGATAACTGATGCAGGGGAGCAGGGCGGCATCTGTGTTCTGGAGGCAACGAGAAAGAGAGACTGTGAGTGTCCACAGCGATGTGATCAACACAGCCCAAGGAGAATGATAGAGATGAAAAGCCAGTGAGGTTATGCAGTCAAAAGTGAGCACGCTCTACTCCCAGGATCAGACAGCTGTTTCTATGGCATGTTCCAGGAAACCTTACAGAAGAGATAAAACTCCATTTGTTGATAGTATTTTCAAGGTTCAATGGGCTCAAACGTCAAAATATTAATTAAAATGGTGCGCAAAAATTTAATAGTTGTCACAACTTAGTCTGTCACAACAATTTGCTTACAATAATGAAAAAGAGGAAACAACCGAAATATCCAACAATTAGTTGAGTAAATTAGCAACTACTAAAATTTATATTGTAGAAATCCGTTGACTGGTATGGGACAATATCCACTCACAGAGCTAGGTTATCAATCAATATAAAAAGTACTCTTATAGCTTTGTAAAATACAAATATTATATATGTCTAAAAATAAGTGAAAACATATATACCAAAATGTTGTCAAGATTGTATCAGAGTGGTGGCATGAGTGGGTATTATATTATTTGCTTATTTGGGGAGATTTTTTAAAAAATGATAATCTTACATTACTTATACAAAACGGTTTTGAATAACTAAATTATTCCATTTTGGGTGTTTTCTAAATAACAGAACCACAGACAGTCCCTAGAAAATTCTGCAATCAGGTAGGATAAGCATACAAAAGTTCATCAGGCAAGGGGAAAAAGTGTATTGAATGAGAGAAAAGAAATAAGGAATGGAAGGTTATTTTATCCAAAAGATAAATACATTATGAAAAATATTTTTCTAATATACCATGGCAAAAAAAAATAATTCATCTTGGCCTAATGTTGCTACTCCTCCAAAAGAAAAGTCTATTTTTGTAGTCTCCTGCAAGAGATTCAAAGGCCAAAGCAGCCCTGTCCACAACTCGCGTCCATTTCCTAAGACCTCCCCAGGCCAGAAGAATAAGGAGCAATATCTATCATGTCTTCTTATCCCTTTCCGACGACCACTAACATTTTAGAGTACTTTATTGGAAATTAAGGTAAAACTACATAGAAATCATAAACAATAGTTCATCATCTTTATTCAATGTCTCACATGTGATCTTGATTCTCTGGGTAACAGCGAGCACAAAGTTTGCCTGTTGCGATTGTGAGCATCGAGATCCACAAATATAACTGACCACGAACAGCCCTGGAAAGAGAAAAAGAAAAACTTTTCCTAAATTAAGAAAAAAAGACTTGGAGAACATTTGGCATTTTGACTGTGAAAACTTCACAAAAATACTGACATTGACTGCACTGAGTGTGGAGTTCCAGAAGATTTAAAATTTGTGTGTACTTTGAATATTTCTCAAATTTCCTGTAATAAACATTAACTTCATAATCATAAAAATGTTATTTTTATGTTTTCCCTAGTTTTCCTTGACTTTCTTATAAATCCAAATGTACTGATTACAAGATAGCCACTATATTAGTGACATTTATTTTAATGAAAATACAATTAGTTTAGCTAACATGACAAAGAATGAGAATGCAGATTCATAAAATCTGAGTTATACATTCCTCATAAAGAATATTGACTATATGATCAAACTAAACAAATTTAGATATAATCTAGATGAATGTAAAAGAATACTGTATTAAAATATGAAGACAGGAGAATCTCAAATAACAATAAAGCAACTAATCTGAACTAATATTCACTGCGTCAAGCACTATGCTTTATGTGTCACCTGGATTGTCTCATTTAATATACTGAAAAGGACATTAAACCTTACTTTAACAGAGCAAAGGTTCAAAACCAAGTCTCTAACACAGAGGCCCATTCTTTAAACACTAGATTATACAATTCCCCCACATATATATATATTTCATACAATTCTCCCATATATATATATATGCACACACACACATATATATATATTTCAAGTAAGAAAAAAAAAGCTTGAATAAAACGAATAGGTGTAACAAAATGTTAATCTATCTGCTAATCAGCTTAAAACTACTGCATTCCATATTCAACAGCTTTACTGGGGAGTTAAATATTTGAAATCACATAGAACGGGATGGGAATAAGGAGAATACTCAGAAAAATACATGGGGAAAGGGAGAAGAGAATTATAAATTTCATGTTACTTTAATACTATTTTCTGAATCTCATCCCAATTCTCACCAACTTCACAGATGCATTCACACTGAAACAAAAATATCTCCAACCAATCGCCTAGACTGAACTTCAAAATCTGGCAGCACCAGACCCCATATCCAGATGTCAGATTCACTAGAGGCATTTGTTTCCTAGTAGCCCATGTTTTATGAGCTAATGAAAATTAGCTCATAAAATAGAATGATTTCTCATTCAGAATATCATTTTAAAACCTTTTTAAAATCTGACAAGTAAATTAATAAATGAACAGTGATTCGGTGAGGCTGTCTCTCAACCACCATATGAATGGTAAACTGTCCTTTCTATTACTCCGGAGTTCCAACCTCCCATCTCTACTGGTTCATGCAGCAGCTGCCACTGGCAAGGTATTGTGCACTCTGCTTTAAGGAAAACAAACAAGATCAAATTTGACCTGTGCTCTCAAGGAGCTGACCCAGGCGACAGTCCTGAACAAGATTATTAAGAAAACAAAAAGGCAGCACATCGCAACACATGACTTACTTTCATCAAAGTTAGTGGTTTAAGGGGGAGAAGAAGATTATAAAACAAGTCCCCAGGGAAGTTGGGGCACTTCATAGAGAAGGTGAGGACCATAGCTAGGCTCTGAATTTTGGTGAAATGGGAGCAAGTAGGGTAGTTACAACAAAAGAGCAGAGAAATAAATGGACATAATATGTTAGGAGCCTATGAATACACAAAAAATAAGAGTTATAATTTATCTTTAGGCCAAGAATTAATAAAGTCAATTGCATACCAAACTATCGGCCCGGAATTAAATTTTCAAAAGATACAATCTAAGTAGGATAATTTATAAATAATGAAGTGAAATGGCAAATTTGGCAATTCTCTACGTTACTTGATTAATGTAAACAGCCAACTTCTATTTTCTGGCCACAAATAAGTGGCTTATTTGTCTAAATTCATCAAAGTATTTATTCAGCTCTCAATTTTTCTCTGCCAACCTAAGAAATATGCCCAAAGGGAAAAATAATCTCATAATGTTGCCATATTTTAACATCGAGATCAAAGGGTGATTAACTATATTGTTTGGTTGTCTTCTCACAAAAATATTCCATGCTTTAGGCATTACGGTCCAGATTTCCAGGAGGGTAAAATCACCCAAGGTCATGGGCAGCTAGTCCCAATCCAGAAGCAAGTCTTTTTAAAAGTCGTCAAGGAGAACCCACACATGGAATTAATTATCACCTACTTTAAATCATCAGACACATTAATTTAAGGCCTGGAAATTTCAAAGGAAGCTAGATGTCTGAACTGCTTTGAACACTTTACATAACATGAGCAATCTCTCTAGTCATTACCTTTTAGATTCTGGCCTCGGCTCATTTGTCAGTATCTTGATTTCCCCAATTAAGGACAGGAATATGAAAGGATGTTTTACATGTATATGTCACTTCAGAGTATCTGATTAACTTTGGATATTTTATTTTCATCTTCCATTTCCTGAAATCATTATAATTCTGCCATAATATCCTGACTCCACCTAAAGAGCTTATTTTAAGACTGACAGCTCAAACTTTACTCCCTAATCAAGTTTCTATAATTGTCTTAGTTCTAGTAAATGCACTAGGACTGGAAGATGATTCTGAAACCTGACCACTGTCATGGGGACTTGAGTTCCAGTGGTGGGGAAGGGCTGCACTGCACTTCCCTTAATCCCATGACCAGAACAACCACTTTTGAGACAGTCTCTAAGGTGAAGGGTACCAACTGTAAACATAAGACTTTGCTGATCTCACTGGTCTCAATTCAAAAGAAAACAATTTAAAGACTGTCTAATCTTTCTTTTCTTCATTAATCACTTCTCGGAGCCTGAGCTAAGGGACTTGCTACCCTTATCTAGAATCAAAAAATAAAACAAGGTACAACTGGTCATTGGATCTACCTACTGTACATGATCTTCACATTCTTATTCTGGAACAAAACCACACCACAAAACTATGGTCAGGAGATTTTCTCCCCTAGTTCAGTTATGAGGCTGCCACTGAGCTCTGTAGCAGATCCTGGAGAAATGTATTCTTCCAGAAGGGGTATTTACTGATGGGAATTTCCCTTCTGCACCAAGGCTATGGTGGCAATAGATGTGTAAATAGCCAGCTTTTGCTTACTGACCCAACAGCTCTTTCCAGCAGCCCTACTCACAACCCAAGCTTCGCACATACTGTAAAAGGAATTCTCAAACTACAGAGAAAGATAAATTTGAACATTAATTTTCAGGGTCTCAAAAGAGCAGAGCTGAGACTTGAACCCAGGAAACACAAAACTGTTGCTTACTATGACTATGATATTTGATGAAAACAAATTCTGATAGACTAAAATATTACTGTTTAAATATTATCAGACATTATTTAAATAATATTTAAATATATTTGTCAGGAAATTTATACAGAATATATTTGAGATCATGATGAAATATGTGATTCCCATACTGAGGATTATATATGTTTCTAAATGTAGCTCTGCCCCAAATTAGCCTTTATTGTAAACAAATCATTAAGGAAACTAGGCCATTTTATCACATTTTATTCTTAGTGTCCCAAAGAAAAATAAATTTGGAAAATATTTTCAGAATGAAGATTTAAAGCATTTTTTTTCCCCTTGAATAATAAGGAAAGTTGTTTTTGGAACAAAAGGAGGAAGTATAGGAACGCATAATAACCACAACCAAAGCGAAAAACTTTTCCACCCAACAACTGCCCATAAAAATAAAATTAATCTTTATTTTATCTCACATGCTGAAGCCAGGGGCAAAAGGCAAGCCTTTCACACTATTTGTGAAATGGATACCTCTTTCAGAAGCTCAATAATTATTAAGCAAAAAACAGCTTAAGAGTTTTCAAAGAAAAGGCACAGCTCCCAGTTCTAAAAGTAGAAAGTGTCCAACAGCTGAAATTTCCCATACCAACAAGTTGATCTTCTATTAACAGATTCATTATGGAGTTGCATTGGTTTAATTCCTGGTTTTGCCCCTGTGTGGTGTGATCTGAGAAATACTACCTCAATCTTCTGATCATTCATTTTGAGAGAGGGGCTCTACCATCTCCAAAGATCTATGACTCTCGAGTTGCCACCAAGAGGGAATGTACTTTTTCAAAGTTCTAAATTAATTTAGTTAAAGATATACAATCAGGTCTTCCAAAACCTTATACCAATGGGCCTTTAGAAAGAACTGTGAATATCAATATGATCTGAAATTCCCCAAGTCTTGAGGTGGTTTCTATGGATTTTCATTTGAATAAAGTATTTTTTTATGTCAATTCTTTTCCCAGCAACTGACTTTTAATTAGATCACAGCTCTTTTAAGTATATACAATGACATTATAAAATGATTAAACACTAAAAAGATCACATGCACTTTTAAATGTGCTACTGTTTAGCAGGCACATTATTAATTTAACTGGTGTAGAGGTGGGAATAGTAACATTTTCAAAGTCATATTTCTGCAATTCTCCACATCAGAAAAAGAGATGAAAGGGAATTTGTAAAACTAGGACACTGACACTATCTTGTAAAAATGGAAGATGAAGGGACTTTACTGGCAACATGCGATATTCTTGTGGCTAAACAAATAAGACATGGCCCGTCATGGTGGCTCACGGCTGTAATCAGAGCACTCTGGGAGGCCAAGGTGGACGGATCACCTGAGGTAAGGAGTTCAAGACCAGTCTGGCCAACATGGGGAAACCCCACCTCTACTAAAAATCCAAAAATTAGTGTGGTGGCACACACCTGTATTCCCAGCTACTTGGGAGGCTGAGGCAGGAGAATCGCTTGAACCCAGGAGGTGGAGGTTGCAGTGAGCCGAGATCGTGTCACTGCACTCCAGCCTGGGTGATAGAGCAAGAAGTTGTCTCAGAAAAAAAAAAAGAAATAAGACATTATCTGTCCATATTTCTATCTGAAATAATCAGGTAGTAGTCAATTCAGCAAATATTTGGTGCATAGCTCCACTGGAAATAGACATGACCTGAACAAGGCCAAAAATTAGCTCAGCTTAGAGCAGTTGTTCTCATCCTTGCTTGTATATTAGAATTTCTGAGGAGTTCCAAAAAATCTCAATGCCAAGGCCTCCCCCTACACCAATTAAATCAGAATCCCTGGAAGTAGAGCTCATATATGAGTATTTTTTTAAATTCCTCAAATGATTCCTATGTGTAGTTAAGACTGAGAAACTGGCTGAGGAACAGTATCAGCAATACAGTTATAACTCAGAATCCAAATGCAGAGTAAAGCAATTTACTGATTTTAGAATTATAGCTGAGCAATCTATGAAAGCTTCCTGGGAAAAGTAGAGCACTGAAAGATGGGCAGAGTTAGGAAATGTAGCTTGTATGTATGTGTGTGAGTATACACATAATTGGAAGGGGTGCATACAGGTATGTAAGCAACATAAACTAAGACTCAGGTACTTCAAAGGAGATGACACAATTGCAAAAAAGAGCTGGCTACTACCATGTAACAGCCAACCAAGAGACACTCAGCTTCACTCAGCTCAGTATTTGGTATGTCACAGAAGCCAGGTTAGCAAGACCTGTACCTTTCCAGACTGCTGATAACACCACCTCTGGTTTAATCCATGCCTCCTCTCAGTCTCCTTGATGTATGCTCTAGAAAGCTTTCAGTTCTTTCTCTTCATTTCTCTTCCTTTGTATTACCATTACTTCATAAATAATAGCAACAAGAGATGGCATTTATTAAAAGTTTAATCTCTGCCAAGCACTATGCTAATTAACTTTTATTTGCATGAAAACCTCCTGAGTTAGGTCCTATTATCATTATCTTTATTTTTTTAGACGAGGAAGCTGAGGCTTAAACAGTTAAACTCACTGGTGGAATTGAGCACAGAGCATGCAGTGATGCTGTCTCCTGACCCCTAATATAATGCCATTCTTTAAAGTCATTTTATCCTCCTACTCCTGTCTGTCTGTCTGTCTGTCAGTCTATCTATCTATCCATCCATCCATCCAGGAATATGAAAATGGGTGATCCAAAGTGTGTGGTAATTCCTCATGACCTTCATGTAGACAGAGCCCATGTATCCTCCAGAGGGAGTTGGGGTGAGAAGAGTGCTTGTGCATGTAAGGAGGAGAAGCGAGGTGGCTGCATGAATATACTACAATTAAAAATATTCTTAAATTCAAGACTTGAGTAAATAGTATTATAATTGCCATAACAAAAACCATGTCATTTTTTTTTACACAACTGTGTAACCTCCTAAAATGTTTCTTTACTGACTTAGCATTTCAGTAGCTTAAGATTAATTATAATATCAGTTAGAGACTCCACTTTACCTCACCATCTTAGGAATCTTCATAAAAACTGCTAAAGAAAATTAGCCTACTTCTTGATCCAGAGTAGTAACCTGTATTCCTACATTTTATTCCTTTCCACTGACAACTCAATCTATGGTCACTTGATTAGATTCTTTCAGTACAAAAACTGGCTAAAGGTCTAATGAAAATTTAAGACGACCTTCAAGGTTTCTTTTTCATCCCCAGAGAAAATGAGATTTTAGACATTTGATTGTAGCCAGTTGAAGGTGAAGCTAGGAGCAAAACTTCCAACTACCTGGCTAAACACATCACACAAATTCTCTTCTACATGAGATATACATTGAAACATATTAAATTGAAACCAACATGAAAACTGACATAAAAATATAAATATAGAACGCCAAATAAATTTAAAAATGTGAAACTCTCTACAAAGTAAGTAATAGACTTGAGGGAAAAGTCACTGAACCAAGGAAATCAGAATTCTTTATCAAAATTTTTTCTTCTTTTTTTTTTTTTTTTAAAGAAATTAAGCAATGGCCTTTAGTTAGAAAACTAAATTTTAACTGGCAAATCATTTTCAAAGGAAAAGTTCAAGCATGAGCTTCTACATAAATTTTGGACATTCTCTGATTATACGGAAATGACTTTGTTAATGAATAGTCAAATTAATTAAATGTGCAATTCAAATAATCAAAGATTCTGGGGCTCTTATTTTTTACCTGGTTGCCAAAAAGGTTGAATCCATTAATTGCTTCTAGAGCTGCTTTTGCTAAACCAACAGAGCTAAAAGAGAAAAGGAAATACTTTAATTACTCTAATGTATGTGGCTACAAAACAAGAACCATTATCTGATGAATATTCAAAGCAAATTTCTTTATTAACATTTATAACAAATTCTGTAAGAAGAATAATGTCTAAGAGACCTCATTCTGACATTTCAGTATTTTAATTTTTCTTTTTTATAGTTAGTGATCACCTGGGAAAAATATTTTTAGGTTCACCTTGATCTAAACTAATGGTCATACTATTGATGGGAGTAGTTTTAATTCCAGAATCATTTTTATTCACTAACTCAAGAAAAAAAGAGGAACTTTAGAGGAAAGTATATTATGATGACAAGTGCAGTGATTAGCAGGTTGGGCATCATTAGTTCAGATCAATGTAACAGAGCTTTTCTGACATCAAATCTGAGTCTTAAGAAAGATCTTGCATATCATACAACTATCAGAGTGTGGCTTAAGGTATTCTTCAAATACTCTTGCTTAAGATCCAAAAAATAGGCATTATTTTATGCTCACAGAACAACTGATCACCTTATCTCTCATTTTTTGCTATATTCTTCCCTTTATAATAAAATGAATACTATTTCACTTAGTGTCCTACTCTTTTGGCCTCTCAAATGCCATATACTATAGTGCTGGAAAATGGGAAGACCCATTTCATTAAAAATATGATATCATCTTTTAAGTATCTACCTTTAAATATTTTATATCTAATACCCAGTTTAATTATTACAAATTTTTATTTGTTTTACTCAAAGCAACTGTATTTGCCATTAATATCATTTAAAGTTAATGATCTGTCATCTATTCAGCATTTCTCTGAAACAGATTATCAAACTATGGTCCTCAGAGCAGCACCTTCAGTATTACCTGGGAACTTGTTAGAAATGCTAGTTCTCATTGCTTCTTGGGAGTAGGACTCCATAATCAGTATTAAAAAGCCTTCCAGGTGTTTGAATGCACTTTAAGTTTGACAGCTACTGTTCTAAGCTATTCATGTCATCATAATCTATACCCTATAAGTTGTTTCATAACCTGTTTTTAAGAAATCATCACTTTTATTGCAGGACAATAAATAGGTCAGACACTTATTTTAAAGATACATGGATGGGAAGATGGAGTAGACATAATTTTCCCTAGTCTTCTCACTAAGTACAACCAAGAATCTTGGACATTACATATAAAACAAACATAAAAAGACTTAGAAACATGGATAGAAGAAGGCAGCTTAGCTATGAACTTCAGGACTCTACGAACGACACTATGGTAAGTGCCCTAGGTTTCCTTTTTGCCTTGAAGTCAAAGGAGCCAACTACTGAGAAATGCCAGCACACGCGTACAAAAAAATCCTCAGCAAAAGCCTGTCTCTCTAGCCAAAGGACAGGAAAAGAGCAGCCAAGCAAAAAGAAACTTTTAGACAATAACCACTCAGAAAAAACTTTACCCTACCCCCATCCATTCCAACAAAGGCTGAGTAGAAACCGAGACTTCTACATTCATGAGTCTATCATGAGGCACAATGTTCAACTCCCAACTCTCTCAGTCATGGTGGTGTCAGAAAACTACAAGGAAGAAGTCAACACTTTCATTTCCAATAGATAAGAAACCACTTCATCACCAATCAAGAGGTCACACCTTTTCTCTTGCCCTATAAAAGGCCAAATGAGAACCAGTAATGAAGCACTCCTGTATTTCCCGGCCAAGGAGGTATCAGTGGAGGCCTACTGGGGAGCTGGATGTCAACAAAAATAATGGCCTTATATTCCTACCTGGCAGTAATGAGGTGATGTGCCCTCACCTCTTCTTATACCAGAGTGGTATAAAAAAATACAGCTAAAACAGAAAGTTAAAATAAGATCTAGGGTCTTACGCTATTATGCCGAAAATACTCATATGTCTAATCAAAAAACATTCCTCATACCTGGAACCAGAAAGATCTCAAACCAAATGAAAAAAATACACTCAACGGATGCTAACGTTGAGAAGAAAGAGTTGTTAGAATGATCTCACAAAGATTTTAAAGCAGTCACGATAAAAATGCTTCAATAAGCAATTACGAACATGCTTGAAACAAATCAAAAAACCAGAAATCCTTAAGAAACAGAAAGTATCAGCAAAGTTTTTAAAATAGAAAAATATAATAGTGTAAATAAAAAGATCAGTAGATAGGCTCAACAGCAGAATGATGAGGAGAGAGGAAAGAATAACAAAACTGGAAGACAGAACAACAGAAATTTAAACAAAACAAGGAAAATAGAATGGAAAAAAATTAAGGCCTCAGGGATTTGTGGGATCATAACAAAGTATCTAACATTCATGTCACTTAGATTCCTAAAGGAGAGAGACAGAGGGTAAAGCAGAAAAATTCCCACTTAGCAAGAGCCATAAACCTACAGATTCAAGAAGCTGAGTGAAACACAAACAGAATAAAATTTAAAATGTCCATGCTAAGACACATCATAACTTCTGAAAATTAAAGACAAAGAATAAAATCTTGACAGTAGCCAGAGATAACACATTACCTATAGGGGAAAAATAATTAGAATGATAATGGATTGTTTATTAGAAACCATGAAGGCTAGGATGTGGCACAAGAGTTTTCAGTGACTGAAAGAAAAAAACCACCCCATCAGAAAGTTATACCAGTAAATACATCACTTAGCAATCAGGAGGAAACCAAGACAATCTCAGATGAAGGAAAAGAAGAGATTCTATCACCAGCAGACCTACCCTGAAAGAATGGCTAAACTCCATTCTCTAAACAGAAAGGTAATTTTTTAAAAAGAGGAAAAAACAAGTATCAGAACACCAAAAAGAAACAAAAAGCATAGTAAGCATAAATATGGGTAGATACAATAGATGTTTCTTCTCCTCTTGAATTTTATGTTGAAAGTTGAAGCAAAAATTATAACACTGTCTGATATGATTCTAAATGTGCATGGAGGAAATATTTAAGATAACTATTATAAATTCAGAATGGTAATAAGACATAAATGAAAGTAAGTTTTCTATACTTGACTTGAACTAATAAAATGATGATATCACTACACTGAAGTGTTACCTACAGCAATCGCTAAAAAGCTATACAAAGTGATACAATCAAAACCACTATTGATACATCAAAAATAAATTTTAAAAAATCTTAAAAGTACCCACAGGAAGGTAGGAAAAATAAAACAGAAAGAAGAAAAATAGAATAAACAAACAAATCATCAGCTAAGTTAGGAAAAGGTGGAAAACAGTTAAAAATAACATTAAAAAGAAATAAATAAAAAAGAAAATGGAAGACTTAAGCCCAAACATATGGGAAATTAATTAAACTTAAAAGCATGAAATATACCAATTAAAAGAAAGAGATTTGCAGAGTTAAAATATGGCTCACCTATGTACTGTCTATAAAAAAGTCCCCTCAAATATAACAATATAGACATGTTGAAAGTTAAAGAATGGAAAAAGATACATCACACAAACAATCAAAATAATGCAGGAGTGACCACATTAATAATAAAGGAGACTTCAGAGCAAAGAAAATTATCAGAGAGAGAAGGGTATTATAATATATAATAAAAAAGGTCAATCCACCAAGAAGACATTGCAATCCTAAACGTGTATGCACCAAACAACAGAGTTGCAAAATGTGTGAAGTAAAACTGATAGAACTAAAAGAACAGATAAAACCACAGTTATGGTTGGATACATGCACTTTTCTCTCAGTAACTGGTAGAACAACTAGACAGGAAACCAGCAAGGATACAGAGGAAGTAAATGAGCATTGACATTCAAAATCCTTAAAAACACATTTGCAACAATATTCAGCAATATGTAAGATGAATTATCACCATGACTAAGTAGGGTTTTATGCCAGGGAAACAAGGCCGGTTCAATAATAAAAACCCAATTAATACAATCTACCATGTTAACTGGCTAAAGCAAAACAAAATAATATGGTCATATCAATTGATGCAGAAAATGCATCGAACAAAACTCAACATCCATTTATGACAAAACTCTCAGAAAACTAGGAATAGAGGGAAATTCCACCATTTTTTAAATGATGTGTCTTTCTTTTAATCTATAAAAATTTAAGGGGCACAAGTGCAGTTTTGCTACATGGAGATAGTGCACAGTGATGAAGTCTGGGCCTTTTTTTTTTTTTTTTGAGACAGAGTTTCGCTCTTGTTGCCCAGGCTGGAGTACAATGGTACGATCTCGGCTCACCACAGCCTCTGCCTCCTGAGTTCAAGCAATTCTCCTGCCTCAGCCTCCTGAGTAGCTGGGATTACATGCATGCGCCACCGTACCCGGCTAATTTTGTATTTTTAGTAGAGACAGGGATTCTCCATGTTGGTCAAGTTGGTCTTGAACTTCCAACCTCAGGTGATCCACCCGTCTTGGCTTCCCAAAGTGCTGAGATTACAGGCATGAGCCACCATGTCAGGCCTAGGCTTTCAGTGTAACCATCGCCTGAATAATGTACATTGTATCTATTAAGTAATTTCTTATCCTTCAAACTCTTCCCACCCTTCCACCCTCTCCAGTCTCCAATGTCTATCATTCCACACTCTATGTCCACGTGTACACATTATTTAGCTCCCACTTTTAAGTGAGAATATGCAGTATTTCACTTTCTCTTTCTGAATTAGTTTAGTTTCACTAAAGATAATGGCCTCCAGTGTCATCCATGTTGCTATAAAAGATGTGTTTTCATATATTTTATGGCTGAACAGTATTTATTTGTGTACATATACACCATATTTTCTTTATCCAATCATCTGTTGATGAATACGTAGGTTGATTCCATATCTTTGCAATTGTGAATTATGCTGCAATAAACATATGAGTATAGGTATCTTTTTGATGTAATAATTTCCTTTCCTTTGGGTAGATAGCCAGTAGTGGGATTACTGGATTGAAAGGTAGTGCTATTTTAAGTTATTCGAGAAACCGCCATATTGTTTTCCATAGAGGTTGTGCTAATTTACATTCCCACCAACAATGTAT